TCATCGATGTTCCTAACTCTCTATCCCTCTCTCTTCCTCTCTGTAAAAAATCAATAAAATATATTAAAAAAAATAAAAATAAAATAAAAAATGGGGCCTGTATTATTTTTTAATTTAACACCATCTTTTAAAACACATAATGAATAGTAAGTCACAATTCTTCTAGTATGCAACTACCAAGTGAAAGATCTCATATTGACACATATCCTTCAGTCATAAGACCTGTGAGAATATACCAAATGAACAGGTATAATTAGTAAACATGAAAATGATGTTCAATTTTATTTATGACCATATGAATCACAGAAGGGGGAGAAGCACATATGTTTAAAATATGAGTTTACTTCCTAACATTTAACTCAAAAGTAACTGTTACCATATGTTTAGTCTCTATCTATATCAAGGTATGGGTAACCCACAGGAGTTTTGCCTTAGTACAGAAGAGTGGAGAAGGATTAAATCAGTGAAAATTGTCTTTAAGTTGAAAATTTTCAGATAATTTTTTCAAAGTCAATGGCCTACATTCCGACTTGCCTAATAGAGCATTATCTTCTCCCAGTAATTTACTGATTTTATTTTATCTGCTCTTGCTGTTCAGAAATTGCACCCTTTTGTGTCTGCATTCACACTTTGTTCTAGGAGCCATCTGAGTAAATATAAAATCAGTAACCGTCACATATGAGAGAGGCTCTATATTTCTAGCAGCCAGCCTTACCAAGGGAAAGAGGAGATAATGAATGTGATCTTGGCATACCCTCCTGGTTTAGTAATAGAAAAATGATGGGGTCTGATCTCTTTAATTACACCCTATGGATAGCTTATCTAATGTCACCATCAAATAATTTCACTTATCACCTCATTTTGTTACATTTAAAAAATTATTTTTGCCAACTTGGTACTTTCTGGGTCTTATTCCTCTATTTCTTTCACATCAGTATCTGCGGCTCGCCTGGTGAGCTGTATGGGAGTGAGCATGTTTACCTCTGTGAAGATTGGACAAATGATGTGAAGAAAGCAGTGACAGAAGGGTCAAAGCCCCTCAAAATCATGCTTATTTTCTTCCAAATTCTTTTGCACGAATATGGCATTAAACAGGGCTGTAGTAAATGAGAGATTTCACATAAATTTGAACCCCACATGCTGGAAGTTAGGCAAAATCTCGCTACATTTGAATAGTTCCAGCAAGCAATTTGTTACCCTTTATCCTTTAGTGAAATTGATGAACAGGTGGTTTTCAGAAGATCACTCAGTATATTTAGCTTCTGAAATTTGAGCAACTCAAGATCTGATTGGTTGCTCTTGCCACATGATAACTGGGAGCCCAGGCACCACGCTGGCTCTTGCTTGGGGTTCTCAGGAGGGGAGAGTTGGGAGAGGCATTGCTGCTGAGGAAATTTATTTGATAGATTGAAGGTAAGGCCCGTTTATGGCTTTTTCTGTAATGTTCTTGCAGGAGACGTGCCATAACTTCCCTTGAAGTATATTCCGAAGTTGTGGCTCATAACTGGGGAAATTGGCGATGGAAACGGTGACTAGGAAGTCTGTAACGCCGTCGCCGTACCCAGGCCCTACTAATATCTGACATGTAGTGTGTGGTTAGAATCAAGTCTGATACTAACCAATTTATTGCTTAACTGAGCTGGCTCTCTGGTCTAACAAGATCTTTTCATTTTTGCCTTTGATATTTTTTCTAACTATATTAGTACGAAAAAGGATCCTATATTTATCCTTTTCTACTGGGCTTCATTTGCCTGAGGAGTGGCAGTTTTGCTAGCTTAACAAAACCAGCCACAGCAGGGTATAGGTTTACATGGCAAATATGTCTGGGCCCAGGGACAGCTGCTCCAAGTCATCATCCACTTTTATCAAGAGAGTTCCACTCCCTGGCGTCTGACTACAAAGGCCTTGGGAGACCCTTTCATTGGTGCCCGAATTAGAAGTTTAGGCCGAAGACCCTCAGTCTTATGCGTCCTTCAGTCAGTGCGTCAACAATATGTTCTTTTCCAGGTTTGAACGAGAGCTACAGAAACGACAGAGAAAAGTCCACACAAGCCAATGGTGTTCGGGAGGAAAATAAACCCATTGCCTTGAGGTTTCTATTTTTCTTTTAAAATCTGTTAGCAGGTTTATTTTGCTATGTTCTCATTGGAAGCATAAGATATACTGTGTACCATGTATCAGAGCATATGGCGACCTAAGGCAGCCCTCTTAGGATCTTGGTGCTACGGGGGGAAATGACAATTTCTTCCAAAAGCTGAGCCGACCTTCCTTTTGTTTGAAAATGTTTCTCTCCAAGTATTTGGAAGTTGAAGGACTCTGTTCCTTTGATTTAAATCCTCTCATTCCCTTACCCCCCCTCCCCCACTTTGTTTTACAACTTTGACTAAGTTAATCGTGTAGCCACAAGCAGCTTCAGTTTTTCAAACCTGCACTTAAATATCTTTTCTCACTTAGCCTGCAAACATATACGTACGTGTAGAACGGATAAGACTTTAAATCCTGCTTTTATAATGTTGTAAACTGATTTCCGTCCTGGGGATAGATTCTAACGTATCTTCATTTGTCTGGAACATGAGCAGTGTGTAGGTGCCACTACTACTCTGAGAAAATGGCAGATGACGAAGAATATGAGGAGGTGGTGGAGGTAAGACACAAAAACTGACTCCCACAGCAAAGCATTTTACCTAGCAACAATCAAAGCCATGTAGGTGAATTAATCATTTGAAAAATACAATGCCTATTGTAACTTCACAAGAGTCATCATTAAAGCATGAGAAAGGAATATTTTACGTTCAGTTTCACTATAATTATGTGGGCTTTAAAATTGAAAAGAAGTATCACTGTTTCCCACTTTTGCTTTTCTTTAAACTCTCAAAAACAAAACAAAACACAAAGTGTAGGGTAAAGGCAGATTTTAATTTGTCTTCTAACTAAAACTACCTTCTCCCCCACTTTCCAACCTTGAAGGGACAGAGAAGATGGAGAAAAACTTCTGGAAACTGAATTCTATTTTTTAGTGTCTGCAAAGAAATAGAAGAAAAACTCTTTACTTCAAGCAGCTGATTATCTATAGGGAGATATGAATTAAATGCATATGTGAGATTTTATATACATGTACATGTGCATGCACACACATATAAAAATAAACTCACTCCTGGCCAAGTGTCTCAGTTGGTTGGAACGGCCACTGTAAAACAAAAGGTCATGGGTTCAATTCAACAAAAAGTCACGAGATCAATTCCCGGTCAAGGCACATACCCAGGTTGCGGGTTCAATCCCCGGTCATGGTGTGTATGGGAGGCAACCAATCGATATTTCTCTCTCTCTCAAAAAAAAAAAAAATCAGTAAGCAAATAAATAAGTTAACTCAGGATGTTCCCAAGTAAGAGTTGGAGCCACAGTTTCCCACCAACTCCATTGCATTTACCCAAGGGAACAAAACTAGCTTTGCATTTGAATTTTGAAAAAGAACAAAGACCACAGTGGCATCTTGAAAAATTCCCTCCAGATTATTGGTGGGTGTCTAACATATTTTACAAAGTTGCTGTTTATTTATATAATTTATATAATTTTGTTTTTATCATGTCATGGTTTTTCTTCACCAGCTCTAGCCTTTAGTTTCACATCCATATAAATATACTGCCATTGAATATAAAAGTGGTTAATAATTACTAATTAATGGTGATCTAAATACATATATGAATTTGGAGGCAGTTTTGAAAATCTGTGCTTTAAAAAAAATGAAAATAACTTTAAGAGCTACCTAGAATCAAATTTCAAATGGAAATGCCAAAATTTGTCTTTGGAAGATTATTTTATGGACCAGTCTATATTTCTTTGTTTGTTTGTTTTTGTTAATTCTTACCTGAGGATTTTTTCCCATTGATTTTGTTTTAGAGCAAGTGGAAGGGAGGGAGTGAGGGGGAAAGAGAGAGAGAAAAATCGATTTGAGAGAGATACATTGATTGGTTGCCTTCTGCACATGCCCTGACTGGGGCCAGAAATCAAACCTGCAACCCGGGTACATGCCCTTGACTGGGAATGGAACCCATGAACCTTTGGTGTGTGGGCCAGTGCTCTAACCACTTAGAAACACTGGCCAGGGCAGGACCAGTCTATATTTAGATGAAGAAATTTTTATTTTATTCTACAAATAAAGTTGCTTTTATTACTGAAACACACACACACACACACACACACACACACACACACACACACACAGCCCAGAATGAATCTCATCCAATATAGCATTTAAACTCTCTGGCTTCAATGCCAAAGGCCACATTTGTCAATGTTCAAAATTATCACTAGTGTGCATTTCACATATGTCTCTACAGGGTATCAAACACTAACACAATTATAAAGTAAATTGCCTTTCCTATGATGCTAAAACCAGGAATACTTTTTAACTTCCAACTTAAACATCCCTTGACCTTCTTAATATAATTGTGTTCATCGGTCACTGAAAACTGTCCTTAGCAATGGACTCGATTGATTTAACGAGATGTCATAAAAATGGAGGGGGTTATTTTTAGGCCTCTCGTCCTTGCCATTTTGTTCCCATTACTGCTCTGGGTCTGACCAGCAGGTGCTAAACTAATAGACTTCCTGCCAGAGAGTGTTGAACCAAGGTCTCTCTGACCTCAAAAAAAGATGACACGAGAATGGGGTGGTGGCAGATTTGAGAAAGCAGTCAGGGGAGAGTTCACAAAAAAGGCAGGAATTTGCTTTTAAAATACATTTCCTAAGGATCTCAGACATCTAAATAAAATTGTACTGTCACTCTCTACTCAAATTTAAATGAACTTGGAAAGAAAGAAAAAGAAGCCACCCATGTACTATCTAATTAGTGGCAAAGCTCTTTTAAAAAGTGAGATTTGGCATACAAGTTAACCCCAACCATTTGGGTAATGTTGTCTTTTTTGAAGCTTATTTCTAGGATACATTTACCAATCATGAGAGTCCAGCAAAGGTAAAATTGGATGGCTACCAAAGACCTGCTTTCACTTGGATGCTAGCAAAAATCCAAAACATTTATGAATCATTTGTTTAAGTTTAATATTTCTTCTCAAGTCACTGATGTTTTGTGTGGCCAGAGGAATGGTTCCATTGGATCTGCATCAAATAGTATTCCCCACAGTGTCCAAATGACATTTCCCAGGGATGAAACACCAGCATGTGGAGGACATTCTCGGTCTTAAAAGCGCTGTGATTTCTGTTGCCTTGTGTAAGGACACAGAGATGGAGTTAGATTTAAATTTTAAAAAATAGTAAAGGAGCAAAGAAAGTGCAAGAGTGAGGGACATTAGGCGAGGTTTATACTAATTTTACTGCAAGTGAAATGGAGCGTGTGGCCTATTGACAATGGGTAAATAAACTTGTTGAGAGTTCACTGAGCCAAGGGCAGAAGACAAAAGGCCACCAAGGGAAAGTTTTTGTTCAATGGTTTTTCATTTCCCCGAGTATATGTTTTGGTGACAAAGAAAAGAAAAATGAAGTATAAAACCTATACATTTTTTTTGACTGAGAAAACGAGCCAAGTGTTTCATTTTCATCCCCTTCCTGTGTGCCTTGGCCTAACCAGTCTTCCTCCTGCTCGCCCAGCTTGGCGGGCTGAGGCTGGGGCAGGATTCCACTCTCCTTACGCATCTGAAACAAAATGTCAGCCAGTTCCTATCCTCGCCTATTTATTGCTGGTGATGTCAGAAGTAGAACAAAAGTAGGTTTGATTTCAGGGCCCGGCTGCAGGCACCTCTGAGCCATCAGTGGCACATTGCTGCCCAACTCCCACATTTTGTGATGAGGAATCTCTCCTTTTTTCCTTCACTCTTGGGCATTTGTAAATGTTCCTTTTAATACCCCTCTAGGATCATCACACCATTGGAAGGGATTCTCTTGTCACTCTGGAATAAGCTCATGACTTAGCAATCAGGGTGATATAGGGATAATTGAGATGTGTCTGTGCCTTTGGATCTATTATTTCCATGATACAATCCACTTAAATATTTTATTCACACTGAGGTTTCTGTTTTGTTTTATTATTAGTTACCCAACAGTGAGTTTCATCAGAATTTCTCTCTGCCTAACTCACACACTCCAGGTGTTGTTATATTCTTTTCCCAGCAAATTCTACTTGGGTATGAGAAGAAAAAATATTACTTGTACCAAGTAAAATAGCGTCCCATGACTAGTAACTGGCCCCAGACACCTTTCTCATCACTCGGCATCTCCTTGTCCAGTCTGATGGCATTCACTTCAGCTTCCCCAAAGCTTTGCTGACTTAAAATGGGGTCCAGAATATGAACAGGCTCCCTCTTCTGCTTCCTTCCCCACATGTAGCAAACCTAAGTGGGCTAGTGAAATAACCCAGGTGGTGTAGCGGAGACAGAGGAGAGATGATTTCTGCTTTGGTTCTCATGACCACACTTTTTGCTCTATTTATAGTACTACACAGAGGAGACAGTCTACGAAGAGGTGCCGGGTGAGGTAAGACCCAGCCCACACCTGCATGAACTGCATGCTCATTAAAGCAGAAAGAGCAAAGGGAGGATCTGAGGGAGGATCACTTACCCATGTGTGCTCGGCAGCTGGGGGTACAAGAATGAATGCTATGGAGGTTTTATCTCCGTTTTTGCCATTCAACCTATATAAGATGCTGGGGGATGTTCCCCCCCATAGCTCATGTGGTATTTTTTTAAAAATATATTTTAATTGATTTTTACAGAGAGGAAGGGAGAGGGACAGAGAGTCAGAAACATCGATGAGAGAGAAACATCGATCAGCTGCCTCCTGCACACTCCCCACTGGGGATGCCCGCAACCAACAGTGAGTTTCATCAGAATTTCTCTCTGCCTAACTCACACACTCCAGGTGTTGTTATATTCTTTTCCCAGCAAATTCTACTTGGGTATGAGAAGAAAAAACGTTACTTGTACCAAGTAAAATAGCGTCCCATGACTAGTAACTGGCCCTAGACACCTTTCTCATCACTCGGCATCTCCTTGTCCAGTCTGATGGCATTCACTTCAGCTTCCCCAAAGCTTTGCTGACTTAAAATGGGGTCCAGAATATGAACAGGCTCCCTCTTCTGCTTCCTTCCCCACATGTAGCAAACCTAAGTGGGCTAGTGAAATAACCCAGGTGGTGTAGCGGAGACAGAGGAGAGATGATTTCTGCTTTGGTTCTCATGACCACACTTTTTGCTCTATTTATAGTACTACACAGAGGAGACAGTCTACGAAGAGGTGCCGGGTGAGGTAAGACCCAGCCCACACCTGCATGAACTGCACGCTCATTAAAGCAGAAAGAGCCACAGAGCAGGCAAAGGGAGAATCTGAGGGAGGATCACTTACCCTTGTGTGCTCGGCAGCTGGGAGTACAAGAATGAATGCTACGGAGGTTTTATCTCCGTTTTTGCCATTCAACCTATACAAGATGCTGGGGGATGTTCCCCCCCATAGCTCATGTGGTATTTTTTTAAAAATATATTTTAATTGATTTTTACAGAGAGGAAGGGAGAGGGACAGAGAGTCAGAAACATCGATGAGAGAGAAACATCGATCAGCTGCCTCCTGCACACTCCCCACTGGGGATGTGCCCGCAACCAAGGTACATGCCCTTGACCGGAATCGAACCTGGGACCCTTGAGTCCGCAGGCCGACACTCTATCCGATAATTGAAACCAGTTAGGGCAAATGTGGTATTTTTGATGCAGGTGATGCTGATTAGAGTAATGTCAGTGGCTATCACCACTCTGACTGCAGCAAAGGGATGGCCTTGAACTTGTAATTCGCTTTGGGACCAGCAGGTGTGCTGTGTAGAGTTGTAACTTGTTGGGCACCATCTCTGCCAATAGGGATGGTGCCTCTAACCCTTTGTCCTTGGCAGTGTCATAAAATGCTACTTAGACTTTAGCACATAAGGAATTCTGAGAAAGCCATTCCCATATCCCAAATTGAAGCATTTTCTCCCAACATGAAATATCTCACTCATGCCTCATTTTCTGCATGGAGATGTTTCTCTTGAGTATGACAAACAATGATATGGATGACTAACCCTAAAGCCTACTCAGAGAACCTGTGACTTCATGGAAACTAACATCTGTAGATGTTGTAAATTGGTTAGTTTCTCACGGTCAACCACACATCTATATCTATAAAAGCTTAAGCAACCCAAAGACCAAACGACAGCTCAACTGGCCACTATGACATGCAATGACCACCAGAGGGCAGACGCTCAACACAGAAGCTGCCCCTGGTGGTTAGTGCGCTCCCACAGTGGGAGTGCCGCTCAGCCAGAAGCCAGGCTCAGGGCTGGCGAGCGCAGCTGCAGCAGCACAAACCTCTCCCGCCTCCGCTGCAGCTCTACCCAAGTGGCAGCTGCAGCAGGCGCATTGGGGCCAGGATGAGCCGGAGCAGCACAGTGCCCAGCCCCGGCTCCTCCCTGGCCACCTGCCACTTCACGCACTGCTACACCCCTTGGGGGACGTCAGACTGTCAGTTTTGGCCAGATCCCCACTGTGGAGATCTGGCCGAAACTGGCAGTCTGACGACTCAGAGAATCTGTGACTTCATGGAAACTAACATCTGTAGATGCTGTAAATTGGTTAGTTTCTCACGGTCAACCACACATCTATATCTATAAAAACCTAAGCAACCCAAAGACCTAACAACAGGTCAACTGGTCGCTATGACGTGCGATGACCATCAGGGGGCAGACGCTCAACACAGAAGCAGCCCCTGGTGGTTAGTGACTGCTCCCCGCTGGCAAGTGGACATCCCCGGAGGGCTGCCGGGCTGCCGGGCTGCCAGAGAGATGTCTGATTGCCAGCTTAGGTCCAATCCCCCGGGGAGCAGACCTAAGCCAGCAGGTGGTCATCCCCCGAGGGGTCCCAGACTGCGAGAGGTCACAGGCCAGGCTGAGGGACCTCCCCCCTCTGAGTGCACAAATTCTTTTGCACCGGGCCTCTAGCCCCACCAGTGCATGAATCCATGCACTGAGCCTCTAGTCATAAATAATAAGCAGAAAGCAGCCTATTAACAATGGTCTGACAACACTAGGGAAAGTTGTCTTAATACACAATTTCCTTATTACTTAGGTTTCTCTTCTCAAATTGATGCTAGAACTCTGCCTTTGATCAGGTGGTTTTAGCTGTAAAGAAAATTATATTATGAGATTGATTGAAGACTTGGCTGCTTATTGTCTTTCCTTACATACAGTATTTTTAACCTTGGACTAGACCTGAACTTTGTACCTTAGTTTCTTCCACTACAGCTTTTTGAAAGAAGCAGTGATTTCCCACCTACACATACATAGGGCTGTTGTGAGGATAATTACCCCATTATCTCATCATCATTATTCCTGTCCTTTATTAATATAAATGGCATTCCAGTTCACATTAACTAATTTACTAAGCCAAGAGCATGGTAATCACTTATAAAATTTATGTGATTCATTTTTTATAAAGTTCATTACTCTTTATCTCATACTACAGGGGAGAATGCTTAAATATCTGCAGAATAAGCAACCAACTTATCCTTAGACTTACTAGTATTTAAAAGTTAATATTAAAGTCAAGAATCTGAGCTTTATTTTCTTTTCTTACTCTTTTGTTCTCTGATCCCAGTTTGCTTTTACCCAGTCAATTTTAAAATATTTTTAAATATTTAAGAATACTTTACTTCTTTTTTAAATGCCACCTTAAGTTCCTTTGAGTTCCTTTCTGCAAATGGAATTTTAAGGCAATGTTGTAAATTAATAAGAAGCAACAGTTCTACTCCATGGAATCTTGAACAATCAGCAGTATGTATGTGACATAATGTGCTTTCAAATGGATATAGTGTGTGATTTTCTGCTTTGGCCTATTTTAGTTATGGAGAAGTAACACCAGGGATATAAGTCAGAATACCAAGATCATGCTTACCACAGTTTTTACTTTTATAACAATGTTGAACTGTATGTCAAATTTTCAGACAATAACAGAAATCTATGAAACTACGACAACAAAGACAATATCTGACTATGAGCAATCACAACCTTCGAAACCAGGGCTGGCCCAGCCAGAAGCAGCAAAGCCGGCGGAGAGGAAGAAGGTTATCAGGAAGAAAGTGGACTCTTCGAAGTTCATGACTCCCTACATTGCACATAGTCGGAAAATGCAGGACCTCTTTAGCATAGTAAGTTTAACGTGACTTCTGCTAACCTGGCTTTATTATAGAGAAATTACTGATCTCAACCAACTCTGTTTTAGATGCTGACTGGATTCTGCTCCTTAACCTTGTATGGAACAAAATTATTTTGAAGAAATATTAACTCTTGCGAGTCTTGAGTTTTCCTTTCCTGTAATTTATTTGTACCATTGCAGCATCAGGAAAAGCATCCTTGTTGAAATTATTCCTCTAAAATAAGCATTAGGCCATTTATAAAGCACTTATTGTTATTTAATCATAATTAGTTAGCCAATCTATAAAAATGAAATCATAATACAGATGTAGTTGACATCAGTTCACAGAAGCTACTAGTAAATAGCATCTATTTAAATAATGAGCAAGGTGACTCTTAAGTAGGTCTCTAAGAGATAGATGGTGAAGAACATGTAGCATAGAAAACCAGGATCAGACTAAGAAACTAAAGATCAGAATGTTCCTCTGTACCCTAGAACAGTGGTTTTGAACTCTGGCTGCACGCTTATAATCCCTTAGGAGCTTTAAAACTACTAATGCCCAAGCCATTTTGGTTTTATCAGTCTGGGTTTGGGACCAGTGTAGAAGGATTTTTCAGGATTTTTGAAATGATTCTAAGGTGTGGTCCACGTTAGGAATCACTACTCTTGATGGTCCCTAGTCTTTAAAGTTCTGTAAGTTACACTGATGGGTAGCAGAATCAGACCCATTGGAATGGATCTAATTTGTTGATTGTCTATGGTGGGCTGAGGTCTCACTAGGTTGCCTGATTGCATGTCCTCTTGAGGCTCAGGGGAAAAAATATAAAGTATCTCAGGAAACATTGGTTTATATAAGACTAATGTTTACTAGTATGTCAAAAGCATCCTGTTGTGGTTGGGCAATAAATACTTACTTTTGGTTGAGTGCTAACTTTGGGGGACTATTGAGTAAATTTCTAGTTCAGATTCTTGAATGATCTAAAACTTAGATTTCTAAAAGTAAGATAACCTTGCCTTTTTTAAAATCACTGTAGTATTGAGCAAAAATAGAAATTATTTTTGTCAACTAATTGCCATAAAAATCTCATTAATTCAGACACTGATATCCTAGAATTTCTGGTAGACTGAGCAGAATGCTGGCAAAGGTTTTTAATATTTTAAAAGTGGTTAGTAACTAAATCAATAATATAATTTAGATTGGTGACTACTCCACTCATAAATACTCTTGAAACATTAATAATGATAAATTATGCATATTATATATAAGGCAAAACTCATTGTATATTTAGCAGAAACAATAAAATTGCATTTCTTTTCAAAATACTCCATAATGGAGATTTTCCATTAATTCAGGTGGCATGTCAGCTCTCCCAATCACTGAGATTTAGCTGCAACTTCTGAATTGAATGTTTTTGCATTGTATTAGCAATTAAATCTTTTCACATTTGGTTTTATTTCTGTATTTATTTTCTAAAATTATTGCACTTCAAGCTTTTTATGTGTGCACTCAGACAACAAAAAACATTAAGAGAGTCATTTTAGGGCATTTCCAAGAAAATAGTCTGTAATACCATTTCTACTGTCTCTATTAACAACCATGCTTAGGAAGAGCAATTAACAAATCTATTTTAGTGTTTACTGAGAATCAGAGTGGGAGACAAAAAAATGCTGTTAAAACTGATAATTGTTATAACTTGCAGATTTTTTTATCAGATGGGGATGAATGCATTGCCTGAAATTTCTGCTGCTGCATTATAAGATTTTAGGCTAATGTCTGATATTCTTTTCAGAATAAATACAAGGAAAACTATGAAAAAGGAAAAGGACAGCCATCCACCAGCACAACCGATACCCCAGAACTTCGCAGAATCAAGAAAGTACAAGACCAACTCAGTGAGGTGGGCGGCATTGTTAAAATAAAACACAGACACATATAAAAATATGCCTACCACTGGGAATTGGCTTTAAGTAGGTGTGGAGAGAATAAGGGGTTGAATTACTATGAGCCAGTTCAGGAATCCAGAGGAAACACTGGCCATAGATGCTGCTGCTCTAAATGTGAACCCAAAGAGGCTTCTAAAAGCTTGGTTAGAGAGTTAACTTAAAAAGTGATGTGCTTTGGAAGTTCCAATTCACTGTGGTCCTCCCTCCTGGAGCACAGGGAGGCTGAAATTCAGCCAGGAAAGCAGACACACAGTAAATACAGGGGCTCTGCAGATCTTCAAACATCATAGTTTTCTACCAGAAATAAACTTTGCTTTGTGATGCAGAGTGATTGGGTGGATGCTCTTTGGTGATAAGATATTCTTTAATATACTCACATGGTCATGCCTGTCCTGAATTCTAACTGTGCATTATTTCTGCAGGTTAAGTATCGAATGGATGGTGATATTGCTAAAACTATCTGTCATGTAGATGAAAAAGCAAAGGACATTGAACATGCAAAGAAAGTGTCGCAGCAAGTCAGTAAGGTAAGGTCATGGGATGGATGGCTGGATAGAAAAGAGTGTATATTGCCTTAGAGGAGGGCACCGGACAGGCCTGACCCTGCTCGCCAGCCCCACTGCATCACAGGCGCTGTGAGCTCTAAGGGCACACGTGTCAGGGAGGTTGCCCAGATGACCGGAGTGGCCGCGGGAGCTAGGTGGAATGGAGAGCCCGTGTGACTCCACTACAGTTGCTGCATGGAATGCAGTCCCCTTGTTGTCAGAGTCTCTTATTTTATAAGGAAGTTGGGAGCTGAATTTTTATGATAAATCTGAAAATTTTAAATGTAGGGAACTAATTAAAAACACTTTTTGAAAACACCATGTAAGTCAAAAAACACGTGTGCCATCCAAATTCAGCCAAATGATGGATAGGTTGCAACATTTAAAAGGAATCTATAGAGAATCAGAATCATGATTAAGTTTTAAAAATTAGATTTTTTTTTCAAGAAAAAACTTACTAAATGAGAGGAAATTATTATGGGATGTTGATATGGTAGATGTTTTCCTAATCAATGCTAGAAAACCTTGAGTATGAAAAGCTCTTCACAACGCTCTCCTTTGTTCTCAATCCCCATGCCCACGGGGAGACATCAAGCCCTCTGCTCTTTTTGTCTAGGTTTTATACAAGCAGAACTGGGAAGACAACAAGGATAAGTACCTGCTTCCCCCTGATGCCCCTGAACTTGTCCATGCCATCAAGAACACAGCCTTGTTCAGTAAGGTAAGGGCCTCTTCTTTGTCACCCCTCTATCTCCTCTGTTTTCCTACCATGTCATCTAGAGGAATACCCCTAAACTCTTGGTAATCTGAAACATGGTTCTTCAGTCTTTTTGTGAGTAACCTTGAGAACTGTGGGGCTTCTGAGACAGGGCTTGGCAAGGAGGAACTGAGAAGAAAGCCCTGGGCAGAGTAGAGGAGAGAGTCCTATCAGGAACCTGAGCCACTTGGGGGAGGAGTAGGGATGGGGGGACAAAGATGCTCCCGAGATCCAGCTCTGCAGACCCACGAAGCAATATTATAGTTTTTCTGTAGACTCTGTGCTACACTTTGGATATTCCTGGCTGTCACTCTTATTAAGGGTCTATTTTGTGACAGAATCTGTATTAAGTAGCTTCCTGGCTCCTTACACCTGCATTAGTACTTGTTGCAGGAGGTAGGTAAAGTCACAGAGAGGAGATGAAACAGAATTAAACTCAGCTGCCCTTCTGTCAGTAAGATTTGTCAGGAGAAGCAGGAGAATCTATTAGTAACCGTGACTTGGATTGGATGGAAAGGGAGAGGTGATCTGTCAGTTCCATTTACCTTTGCTCTCACCTTGCCCTTGGTTCTTTATGCCATTGATGGATGAATTGAGAATTATGTATTTCTTGTGTGATTTCATGTTCTCACAACTTTTCACTCTTTTCTGATATAGAAACTATACACCGAAGAGTGGGATGCAGACAAAAGTTTGTTTTACCCCTATCATGACAGCCCGGAGCTGAGGAGGGTTGCCCAAGCCCAGAAAGCTCTCAGCGATGTAAGTGAACTGCAGTCAGCACCCTTTGTAGTGTGCAATCGGGCGCCTCAGATTACATCGTCTGGCCAGTTCGTTGCAATTCTTTGGAACAGATTAAATGCCATTATTGCAGAGGAGGAATATATCTAGAATCATACTTTTTATGTCTAATTCAAATTAGATTTTATCATTTATTTTAGATAGAATTTAGTCCAATCCCCTTTTCTTACAGGTGAGGAACCTAAGTCTAAGGCCACTAGGTACTTTAGTGGTAGAACCCAGATGGGAAGCCAGGTCTTGTGGATCCCAAGGCCAATGTTCTTCCCACAAGAGCATGCTCCCTTCTGTCCCCTTGGCTGGAGCTGAAGTTTTCCTGTATAATAGAGTAGCATTTATAAAACCTATTGGAATCACTACCACCTTCCCAAGTTTATTAAGTAAATGATAGTATTGAAAGATTTTGATTTGCTATCCTAATCATAAAGTCAGAATTGTGGCGTGTCCCCCGTTTTCCTGCATGGGGACTTGACTGACGTACTTGACCAAACATGTGTGTAGTTATCCCATGAAGACCTCTTGCCCTCAGTGTACATAGAGGATCTTACAAAGTTAGCAAAAATGTCAGCAGTCCCATTGGCTAGAATTTTAGACTTTGTGAGCTGTTTATTAGAGGAACTTTAAAGCCCTGACAGAGTCCTTAGGGCCAGAAGCAGCAGCAGCAGAGCCTTGCATGGGCCCAGCACTTCCCCTGTGTGAAGTTGCTTTATTTCTTTGCCCCTGGATTTGCTAGAGGCCACGCTGAAAATTCAAAGTCTTTAGGAGAGCACTCTATTATAAAATGCCAAGTTGTTTTTCAATTAGCTGTCAGCTAGATCCCTGGAACTTCTTATATTCAACATGAACTTAACAAGCCAGTTGGCATCATAAAACTTACTGGGATTTATTTCTGATGGATCTTAAGATTCTATCTTGCCCTGCACTAAAATTATATATACTCTTAGTTTTATATATATATATATCTTCAACTTTGGAGTTCTAATTTTTATTGCCTCTCACTTGTTACCAGCTGCAAATTTAGTGGACATATTTTCTATCTCAGGTTGCATGTAATTGGTTAAAATATAGCAGATATATTCTTATTCTTGCATACAGTAAGCTAAGAATTAAAGAAGGTGTAAAAATTGTAAGGGCAGCTAGTGTGCCAATATTAATGTGTGGGGACCTCCTGCTTTTCTTTTAAGATTAGCTTTTTGGTTCTGTATCTCATGAATATGTAATATAATGTGACCTTTACCAAGTGATCAATAATTAGTTATTGAAAGTCCAAGATGCATGCATACCTGGCAGGACAGAAGCATACAACAAGCCTTTTTCATCATTTGCCTTGAAAACCTGTAGCCAAGCTGGTCAGATGAAATTGTTATATATTAAACTACAAGAAAAAAAGTTAAAAAATACAAGCTCTACAGTCTTATACATGCTAAGAGAAAGACAAGACACATGTGAGTAATCAGAGAAGGCCATGTGGAAGTGGTGATTTCAAGAGAATGGGCAGTGATGTACAGGAAGGGCATTTCAAGTAGAGAGCTCTCGAACAAAGGGACAGGGGTGAAATGAGTTTGGGGCTTTAGGGGACTAAGAAACTGAATGCTGCCCTAACTGGTTTGGCTCAGTGGATAGAGCGTCAGCCTGCGGACTGAAAGGTCCCAGGTTCGATTCCGGTCAAGGGTGTGTACCTTGGTTGCGGACACATCCCCAGTAGGCCACTAGGTACTGCAGGAGGCAGCTGATTGATGTTTCTCTCTCATCAATGTTTCTAACTCTCTATCCCTCTCCCTTCCTCTCTGTAAAAAATCAATAAAATATATTAAAAAAAAGAGAAAGTGAATGCTGTGGGTGCCAAGTTACAAGCTCACTTGTAAGAAAGTGGCACCAGGACCTTGAAAATCAGGCAAAATAGCTTTGATATGATATGGTAGGCAGTAAGAGGCACATTAAGATTTTGGGAAAATCTCATTATATGATAAAAGTAGAATCTGGAGAAATATTGATGGACAATATGATAGCTTGGGACTAGGCAAAATCATAGGAGACTGTTTGTATAAGACTGTTTTAGTAATATAGATGAATCAGAGGGATGATGGGGACAAAGAGTAGGAAAAAAATCTGAAGGTAATAAATATTTAAAAAGTGTTAATGATAGTGGATATTGGAAACAAAAGAGAGAAAGAAGCCACAGATGAATTTATGACCAAGACTGGTGGTCAGGGTGGATAGGGGCATAACTGGTAAAGATTCATTAGTTAAATAGAAATAGAGTTGAAATAATGGAGGGAACATTCAGATAAAGGCACCCTATGGATAACTTAAAAAGTATTATTGCATAAATGTGAGCTGACAAGAGATTAATATTTGAGATTCATCAAAATATAAGTGACAACTGAAGACATAAAAATGTATGAGGGAGGCAAAGCAGTGTATGACCAAGGGCCGAGTTGTGAAGGACACCCACACTGTGGACATCTGGAAAGGAGCCAGCAAAAGAAAGAGGGGACAGGTGGTCAGAGAAGTTGAAGGGGAACCAGGAAATGGATGTCATGGAAGCCTAAGGGGAGGTTTCCAAGAAGACACTTAATCCCGTAATGTCTTCTTTATCCTTAAAGTGGAGAGATGAAGGGTTGCCTCCATGCCACTCTAGTGCTATGGACTTTGAGCAATTAATGTTGACCACATCTTTTGAGATATCTCAATAGAAGGCATAATGAAAGAGAATTATAATAATGAAGTAAAATCTTTCCGTCCTTGCTCAGAAAGACTTGGCAGTAAAGGTATGCTTTTATTTTGTTACAGACGAAGTATGCACTAAGTATCAGATTACTGACATACCTATTAATACTGCTGTCAGCACCATGAATTTTTACAATTATTGGGCATCAAGCAAGCTGTTGTTCACAGAATATACCACTGGGTAGGCACGTAGATTTCAAGCTAAGGGTTTGGGTTCGGAGGATCCCTCTTCTTCTCCTGAATCTTCTTCCTGTGTTTCTCTTAACCCTAATTATCGTGATTTCTTTATTATCTAAGTAAAGACTTTATTATCTAAGTAAAGACTAAGGAAACACTAAGAGAGTCCCTCAGCTGATCCAGAGAACAAGATTTTAAATAGACAGAATTCTGAGCAAGGTTCCCGAGAAATTAGGACTTCTAGAACTGACTTCTCAGAAAGCTCTTGACAGGATGTCATAGTTAATAAGCGTTTCTCCTGGAGGAATGTTGCTTTCTCCTTAAGGACTTAGCCAGCCATGGAAAATAAGGGTTGTCCTATGCCTAACGTAGGTCTTTACTCATTTAAAAGAAATTATGCACTGGAATTGAATGAATACATTTAAAAATCTGTCTTTTATATCTTACTTGATTTAATGTTCATGAAAGCTTTTGTTATAGGTATTAGGTAGATATTATTAGAATGAGATAGAGTTAGAATTGGTTAAAGCATGAAGAAAATGATTGGGACCTTGGAACTATATACAACCTCTTTACTTTATAAGTAAGAATATTGCCACGTGAAAGGAAAAGTAGTAGGTAGAAGTCTCACAGTTGAGTAGTGAATGAGTTGGGAGGATGTTTCTCCTCTACAGACTTGTCCCGATGGCCTCCGTGCATAAACCACACATTCAGAAATCAGTCATTGAACCCTTCACTCTACTAAGGTACTGTGCAGGCCACAAAGCTTCCCAGACAATAGGTTATGTTCTTCGCCATCCCAGAGCTCACAATCGAAAGAGGGACAGGCGTGTAAACAACCAGTTACAGTATCTTCTGATGATTCCTATAAAGGAGGTAAGGGCTAAGTTGAGTGAAAACACCAGAGAAGGTCATGGAGTCAGGGAGGGCACAGGAGAGGAAACTGTGCTTGTCCTGAGACCTGGAGAACAAGTAGCAGTTTGCAGGCAGATGGAGAGAAGGTGGAGTTGGGGCATTCCAGGGAAAGGAAGCAGTATATATGGGACCCAGAGACATAGAGGGCTTCATGTGTCTGGGAATCTATGAATGTCCTGCATTGTTGGAAGCAGGGGTCAAGACTGGTGGAAGAAAAAGCCAGAGGAGTTAGTAATGAACAAAAGGAGAGAGCAAGACTGAAGGGGATGCATAATTAATGGACATAATACTGTTTTTAAGGTGAGAGAGGTATTTTATAGGCTGAAAGAAAGGAGCTAATGAAGAGGGAGAGGTTGAAGCTAGACAAGAGAGGAGAGGTGACTGATAGTTGGGTACAAAGGGCTGCTGGAGGGAACAGTATCCTGAGTGCTGGGCTTATGCCCTGCAAAGGATGCTTCCCCTCTGAGCCATGAGTGGGGTGGGAGAGGCCGGGAAAGATAAGTGTGTACACTGTCTTTACTCCATGAAAGAGGAAGCTGAGGGTAAGATGGAGTTGATTGGGGCTTAAGGACAGTGTTGCGGTTTTTGACTAGCTCTTGGGAGTAGAGGCTGACCATAGGCACACATGGGATGTTCAAGCTTCAATAAAGGCAAAGAGGACACTGGATAAATTCAGAGTCCTGGGCACAGAGCCCCAAGCATTCACAGAATATGTAGTTGGATAGGTATGTAAATTTCAAGCTAAGGGCTTGGGTTCAAGAGGGTCCCTCTTCCTCCTCTGTACCTTCTTCCTGTGACCCTTTTAAGCTTGCTTATCATGTTATCACTACACAATCCATAGAGTTTTGAGATTTTCTTCAGTAGCACTCAACATCCTGGATGTAAGAAGTGTGTGGATAAGTTGATCCAGAGCTGGCAGTAGGCTAACGGGTGTGATGGAAAGACAAGAGGTTGGGAGTTGAGGATGCTGGTTAAGAGAATAATTTCAGTTGCAGATTATGACGTGGAGTCAAATGGAAGGAAACAGATCTAAGGCCATTCATCTTGGAGAGGAGAGAAAACTCAAAGAGAGAAATCAGTAATGCTGAGGGAAGGCCCTTTAACATCTACAAGGACAAATGTGGTTATAGATACACTAAAGTTTAAAATTCTATGTTGTAAAGATAACAACATAGTCTTTTTAAAATGCCAACAAATGGAACATGAGACATAGGATAATTATTGATGGCTCATTTACATCCCTTTCTTTTGGTCAGATTGCCTACAAAAAAGGTCACATTGAACAGCAAACGCATTTCACATCTCTGGCGGATCCTCCAGATATAATATTTGCCAAGAAAGTGAATGATCAAGCGAGCAAGGTAAGTAAACAAGACTAGAACACTGGTTCCCTTGAAAACTCTGCTCAATAATCTCAACCTCACCCTGGCTGGGTAGCTCAGTTGGTTGGAGCATTGTCCCGATAGGCTAAGGTTGTGGGTTCACATACAAGAAGCAACCAGTAAATGTGTGGATAGGTAAACAGCAAATCTCTCTCTCTCTCTCTTTCCCTTCCGCTCTCTCTAAAACTAATATATTGAAATTTAAAAAAACAAACCCAAACCCTCAATCCTCAGAAAAAATAACTAAAGTGAAAAGATAGAAAGTAAACACTGAGTATTTTTTGCATATGACCATAAAAATGCTACAGCAAAAGCAATACATCCATGAACATCATAAAACTGTGTTAATATATGTTCAGCCAGCTTGATGACTTAGTGACTGGTAAATATGAAAGCTGTATTTTGAAAACAGAAGCAATGTCCTAATATCCTTTGACATTTGACTTATGGAAGTGATATGAACAGATAACCTAGTAACCACACAGAATCTGTTTTAACCCAGTGTGAAGACCCCATATAGTTTTATGCTCTCAGTCAGACTTGGAGAAAATAAGAATGTATGAGTGGTCTCTCAGACATAGCTTGGATTGACAGCTGTGGGGAGGGCACCTCATAACTTGCAAGGCCTTGGCAAACGGCCTGGTCAGCCTATATTTAGGCTGGTAAACTAGCTCTGAGGAATGTAGAGAGACAGATGTTCAGCTGATGAATAGATCCCTGTTAAATTTCTTTTTAAAAATTGGTCCAAATCAGGCCACTTTCTCCTGGGATACTGCTGCTTTTAAATAAATACTTTTCTTTGTCCTCTGTGGAGTTGAGTCTCAGTTTGGTCTTAAATTTTTATGTACAGTAAAATGTCACTAATAGGAATACCATGGATCTGAGATTTCGCTTAGGGCTAAGCAGAAATTAACTTCAGAACTGTTCATAAAGAGATGGCCTACTGCAAGGGTTAACATTGTAAATAAAATCAGGGGAGCAAAGACCATTCATCTTTTTGGAAGAAAAAGAAAAATCTGTTTTCAAATAGTCTTTAGAAAGAAAAAGAAATCTATTTTAAATTTTTATTGAAAGCATATTTTAAAAGATATCTTACTAAGACAACATTCTTTTACCTTATTGAGTATGCACTGTGGTATTTGAAAGTGATTTTTATAATCACTTTCAAACTCCCCTATGATGAGTCTCTTTACTAAATTAGGCTGCAAAGGGGAAGGCCATACCTTCCTCGGCGGTTCACAAGCTCCAGCCTCCTCTCTTGTAGTGAAAATCTTCCCAGACGTGGGAGTACTCAGGAATGGATTGTGAGAGAGCCGGATCCACCCGGACCCACTTGGGCTCTGAGTGAGAGGGAATGACAAGCTTTGATTCATGAAGGGCGAGAAGGGGGAAGAACTCTGGATAAGGTAGTCTTCCACTCTAGTTCTGCATCTTGTTTTAATATGTTTAAAAACATCAGACATGTATCTCTTACTGTGAGAATTAATCTCCTACTCAATTTTGCTTAACAAACTACATATGTGATTCTTAGTTCTAAATAATAGCCCACTTTTGGACCTCATTAAGAATCTTTGCTGCCTTCTCAACCTCACATTTTATTACAAAGTTCTCTATATCTCAGTTTGGGGATGCATCGGGCCCAACTACTCCCCACCCCCAACCCTAGAGTTTTCTGCCTTTGACAGCAGGCAGGGGAATGGCAGTATCTCTGCAATAGGAGATCTTAACCTCTGGTGTGTGTACATCAAAGCATCTCTGAAGTTGTAAGTATTTATGGGCATTTTATAGTTTTCTCAAATTCCTGATAAGGTCTATTCTCCAAAAAGCTTAGAAATGTTTCTGTAGACTGTCTTAACAAATTGAAAAAATCAGTTTTTATTGACTTCAGTTCTTTAAAGCTTCAAAAGAGGAGGGGAGGCAAACTAATCAGCAGTATAAAGCAAATTTTATCTCAGCAAAACTTTCCATTGAAGAACACACACACACACACACACACACACACTTTTCTTTTCTTCAGAGTTTCTTACTCTCTGTTATGTTACAATTATTATACCTTACATTTGTTTATCACTATAGAGTTTATAAACCATTTTTAGTGTATGTGTGATATTATTTAAAATCCCCAACAATCCTCTATATACATATTATTGTCAGCATATATGGTTAAGAAAACTAAAGCTTAGAGAGACTAAGTTACACCTTTGGAAATGATGGAGTCAAGTCGTGGGCCCAGAGCTTCTGAATTCAGGTCCAGGGCTCTTAAATGTATAGCTATTAAAACCACTTGATTATTACTTAGCATATTAACCTTTTGAGAAGGAAGGACATAGGGCATTTGAGAGAGGGGTGGAATTCCTTTAACTCAAATTCACTGTCTTCACACATCAGTTACCCTTAGTACTTGTTCTGCTAAATGTATGCGAGAAAACCACTTTCTTTTTCCTTGAAGGGTGTGATGGGGGAGGGGAGGTTAGGCATACAAACACTTTGAAACACATTGGTTATGTCTGTTAACAGATTCTGTGAGCCAAAGGAGGGGAAACTGCTCTAACCCAGCTCTGCCCAGGTTTGGGGTTGGCTAGGCTAATTCAAATAACACTCAAGCCAAGGTCGTTCAAAACCACATACCATGGACTCAGTTCAATTTAGCGCAGTTGAACAAACATTTATAAGGTAACGTCTGCACGCTGCATTTGTATTAGATTCTGAGGATGCAAAATGAAGAAGACATAACTCCTCTCTCCAAGGCTGTCACAGCCTAGGACTCTGTGCTATGGTGTTTGGGACCTATGAAGAGATCCCAGTTTAATTTTTTAATTACTTTCCAGTTCTCACTAAAATTTCTTCAAGTCTAAATGAGGAAGTCTTATTCATTGGCCTGCAAGCCACATTTTGTTTTGGTATTGCTTTCTGTATAACTAGAGGTTCTGTTAAAGCTCACAAAGTAATGGCTACGTTCATTTGGCATGGAAAGCTGGGGTTGAGTGGTTTTATTATAACAATTAATTACAAATGGGAGATACTTCTGTCTCTCTCCTTCCTCAAACATCAGGGAACATCTGTGAGTTCTGAAATGAACTAAGTCCCCAAACTCAGTGAGAGGAGGAGGAATTAGTACCTCTATCTCCCTCATTCAGCTTTCTTGTTGGGAAAATTGACACTGTACTGGAGGATTTGAAGACATCTATTTAAGGACCCACAAAAGGTCTAATCAAGATATATATTATTGGCTTTTTACAGAGAGAAAGGGAGAGGAAAAGAGAGCCAGAAACATCGATCAGCTGCCCCTCGCACCTCCCCCCACTGGGGATATACAACCAAGGCACATGCCCCCAACCGGAATCGAACCCGGGACCCCCCAGTCCACAGGCCGACGCTCTATCCACTGAGCCAAACCGGCCAGGGCAAGATATTTTTTAAAGCTAACCATTACCACTTGATTTGCACTCTTATTTGTTAAATCCTGGATTTTGCTTGTCTTCTTTTCTGCTAGCTAAAATACAAGCAAGACTATGAAAATAAAGTCAAAGGCAAATGGAGTGAGACACCTTGCTTTGAAATTGCAGCCGCCAGGACAAATGCTGATAACTTCAGCACAGTAAGTAGAAAGGGATGGCTGGATAGCCCTAGTCGGAGAGGGGACCCTCCCTTTATGATTTCTAGCCACCTGCTGCACCCGAAGTGGTACTGGAAGACCTATGTCCCGGCACCTCTTCGTGGGGACAAGGCTTGTGTAGAGTTCCTGTTAAGAAAAGAAATATCACAATCTTTCCTTTTCTTTTTTTTGAGAAATATTTTTTTGATCAGATACCATTATTCTTGCTTCAATTCTCATAGGAACAATATGGTCTCAAAGTGAGTACCGGTAAAAGGGGCCCTTTTAAATTTATTCTTTGCTGGGAACCTAAACAGTACATTTATGAAACTGATTGGTTTCTTCCCAGATTGCCCTCACTGGGAAACAGAAGTCCTCTTAAGGTCTTTGTCCCCAGCCTTTGAGAGCCTCTTCTTGGAGTCTGTCTTTCACCTATTGTAACGGCTCCAAACCTCTGTTAAGTTGCTAATTGTTTTGGTGACGGCACCACGTTCTGTAATTGTAATGGAACATGTATAAGCCAAGAGGGGCATGGCGTTGGGTATCTTCTCTAAATGGCCTCTGTCTCCCCATGTAAAAGCCTTACACAGTTTTCCCCCACAGAGTTCTTCAGTATGTTTCATGTCTTACAGAGGAAATATCATGAAAGCTTTGAGAACATGAAAGACCAGATCTACTTCATGCAGACGGAAACACCGGAGTACAAAGTGAATAAACAAGCCGGGGTGGCAGCTAGCAAGGTATGAGGAAATTCTCTCATGTATCTTGATCATCTCAGTGTGGGTGAACTTCTTATAACTCTTGTTTTTATATGAATTACAAAAAAGAGGGTTCTTAAGGGACAAAAAGTACTTTGGGATTGAAATAGGGCTACCAAATTAAAAAAAAATTATTTTTGCTGTGTATGAGCATTAACAATAAACAGTTACCGTCCTCAAATCTCATCTAGTAGAGGACTTTTGATACCCAGAAGTAGAAATGCTATAATCTCAGACATAACACAGAAGAGGGGTCTTAAGACCCCCTCAGGAAAAGGCAGTTGGCAGTCTCACATGAATATAGAACCGTCCACACTCACCACTACCATTATTTTTCTTACATTCTGATGAACTGGTGGAAATCTAGTCATAGACAATATACATGAATCCATGGGTAGGCTCAGACATGCTATGGAGTGACTTTGGTAAATCATCAGATGCCTTGGAATTCTAGAGCAGGTTGGACACTAGAAAGAGCATAAACTGCCAAGCCAAACAGACTTGATTCTAGCCCTGGCTTTGGCTCTGCTGGAGGAGTGAGAGAAGAAAGATCACATAATGTAAGAGGCTGTTTCAGTATCCAGGTGCAAAACAGTGAGGTTTTCACCCAGTTGGTGTGGTTCAGTGGTTGAGCATTAACCCATGCACCAAGAGGTCACTGGTTCGATTCCCAGTCAGGGCACATGCCTGATTGCAGGCTCGATCCCAGGTAAGGAGTCTGCAGGAGGCAGTCAATCGATACTAATGTTTCTCTCTAATCAATGTTTCTATCTCTCCCTCGCCCTTCCTCTCCTTCTAAAATCAATTAGAACATATTTAAAAAACAAACAAACAAACAAAAACACAGTGAGGTTTTCAACCAGGGGGGTAGTAGGACAAGTGATGAGAAGTATTTTGCAAGTTGAGCTGACTCGATTTGATATTGGGTTGGATGTGCAGTATGAGAGAAAAGTTTGGCCTAAACAACTAGATGGATGGGGTTTCTTTCTATCCAGATAAGAAAGACTGTGAAAGCAGTGAATATATATATATATATATATACTAGAGGCCCAGTGCACAAAAATTTGTGCACTCGGGGGGCGGGGGAGGGG